TTTACAAAAATAAAAATTTTAATACTTGTCACTTAAGAAATTGTGCAGTCTTTGTAACTAAGTTATTCTCTGAAATGTACATGAAAATCACAGTATGTCAGAACTGATTGTGCCGTTTCAATAGCTCTATAGCAGCAAGCAACAGTCCAGAAGCCAAGCATAGGCAATGAAATGATCTGGTTCCAAAACTGAATACCCAAATTAACTAGAAAAGGCTAGTTATCACAATAGTGTGTGTAATAGATGAGGATAATTCAAAAGACAAGCTTCTAATTAGAAAGATGCAAAAAATATTCTCTGAGTCACTAGACAATTCTTGACTAATCTCAGTGAACCAAGGTAACTATTAAAGGTTAATTTCTATTGATTGTAGACATTTTTTTGGTTAGATCGTTAAAATGCAAATCCCTGGGGTAGAAACCATACATATTATTTTAATATATATTTAACCAATCTCATGATTTTGATAGTCTTTAACTTGTCAGCATACTGAATACTGATGACTGATGTATGAATACTCATCGACTAAATGTAAGTTTATGCAGTGTGCATGGAGTGGCTTGCTTTCTCTACTAGTTCAGTGTCAATTAGATGAGAAATGCAGATGGTATATGCTGATAAATTTTGGGAGGTTTTTCTATTACCTGTCGTACAAAGTACATGAAATCTGTCTTGGATTAAGAGACAGGACCTCAAAGATTGTTAATGATTGATTGGTCTAAGGACTGTGGCATATTTTCAAACTACAAGTTTCATTTTTAGAGTGCTCTAGTTGTTGTTAGAGACATCTATGAATTTCAGTATTTCCAATTTCCTACTTTTAATATTGAGAGTATTTTCTACTTTTAATATTGGCAACTCCCATAATCCCTTGAGTCCATTTCATGGAGTGTGTACTTTATAGATGAAAGGAAAATTTAACTGCCAATATTCAGTCCTCTGAAGTGACCAGCAGGTTGAGGTATATCATGTTAAGTACACACAAGTATATTGTAAAAAAGTGGGATGTATAGTATGGAAGATATACTTTTCTTTCTCTTAAAATCACAACTGACAGTGCTAAAGTAGTTAACAAATTTCTCTCTTCTGTTAAACATGTTGGCTTATTTTTTCACATTTTCTTTCTAAAATTCCCATTATCTGCCATAAGGTTTTGGGAATTCATAAACCCAATGTATTCATATTTTAGGGATATATAGGTTTTAAAACATTTATAGTTTAAAGTTAAGGTAAACGTCATTAGACTATATCCATAGAATAGGAATCGATGACAGAACAAGTAGCCAGAACAATCTCTCTCTCTCTATTTCAAGTTTACTTATTTATTTTGGAAGAGAGAGAAAAAGACAGTAAGCTGGGGAGGGGCAGAGATAGAGGGAGAGAGACAATCCCAAGCAGGCTCTGTGCCCTTAGGGCAGAGCCTGACACAGTGCTTGATCCCACGAATTGCCAGATCATGACTTGGGCAGAAATCAAGGGTCAGAAGCTCAGCCAACTGAGCCACCCAGGCGTCCCAGTTGTCATAACAACCAGGAGTTGGATAGGCTCTGCAGGTGATTAACTACCATGGAGAAACATGTGGAAAGGTTAGAGAAAGGTTAGAGAAATTTTAAAGATCGTTGGCTTTCTTGCTTCCACGCTGGAATCTTTCTGGAATCTATTTTAAGTGGTAAAGAAAGCTCCAAATCCTCCCTAGAGTTGAACTTCAATTCTACTGTTTGGGAAATAAAGAAGTACAGCATATATATATATGCTGAGTAAGGTACAAGGTTTCCTAAAAATTCTTATAGTATGGAACCATAAATTTCCATGGTTGAAATACATAATAATAAGAAAAATTGCAATAAACTGCATGTACAAAAGTTACAAACTTTTTAATGTGGCCATTTCCAAATACTTGAAATATCCATATTAGAACTCCAACTTGTATGTGGGTCATTAGTGTATATGGACACGTTTTAATTTCCTCACTATTAATAGTTTTCTGGTTGGTTTAATTTGAAATATTCAGGTTTGACACAGGGTTTATTGCGGCAACTACTACCTTGAGATGCTAATTGCAGTGTGTTTTCCGGTTTAAAACACTCTATAAGTGTTCGTTAGAGCGGACATATTCCTTTAAACCTTTTGAATTGAGCCCTCCAAATATTGTCATTGTTGCCATATGAGTCACGACTGTACTTTCTTAGTATAGTAAGGCAACGATAAATACGTATTCCCAAGCAAATACAGAGATTTCTACCGTACCAGTGCCCCTGCTGAAAAATTGTCCTGTGGCTAGTATTTTTACATTCCAAGTTTCAGGTATAAAAGAGACATGTTTTAATATTCTCAAATATGAAAATAGTGATGTCTGTGAATTCTGGGGGGGGGGGAATAGGTGCATTACATTTCTTTTTGTGTCTGGCAGAATTCACTGAATTTAAGCAATGATGGAGAGCTTTTGAAATAGGATGTGTAAAGTACAGAAAAATGTATTCAAGTATTTCAGAGACATATTGAGACAATGTGGTTTATCATAACTTCCAACTACACAGCTTTTCCTCAGGGAACACAAACAACGTTGTGTTCTAATCTATCTTTAGTACAAGAATATATTTCCATGATTTTGATTCATATACACCAAATAAAGAAGACTGTGTTCAACTTTCGGGTGCACAGTCTGCAGAACAAGAGTAACAATTTCTTTCAGTTGTGACATTTGCCTTTAATGCCAAATATGGTTTTTGTGTGTTTGTTTTTTCCAATAATGTTTTAAATTACTTATAAAGGAGGGCAGTTTGGTCCTTCACTTAGCAAAAATCACTGAGCATACATTATTTTTTTCACAAGTTATTTTTAAAAACTAAAACTGGATACACCAAAGTTCAATAACTTTGAGAACTTTTTAGCTTTAAATGGCAGTTCTTGCTTTTAGTTAGAGATTGACTCAAATTCAGAAAATAATACCATTGGATTCAAAGACTGGCTTATTTTTTCCTCTTAAAGCTGAGTTAATTGTTTCTTAATGTTTAAACTTTTCTCTGTCAACCTTTTGGCACATTGAGTTTCTATTCAGCAAATCTGACCAAAAATTAAACATATCTAAAGAGCATTCTAGAGCTTTTTAAAAATACAACAATAATGATAAAAATAATGCAGAAAAATAGCAAAAATTCAAAAGAATCAGAACCTGGTTCAATTTAACCAAGAACTCTATCATATATTTGTACTTAATTACACTGCATGAAATTGGTTAATGCCCCATTGTAACTGAAATAATTCCATGGGTTGCTGATAAATTTTAAGTAAAAATTGTATTTAAAATTATTCACATCTAGTGAATGGCATATATATTGAAATCATTAGTTCAGAAATATAAAAACAACCAATCCTCACTTTATAGAAATGACTTATTTATATAATTTAGAATTAAAATCTTCCCTCCTTACATTTGGAGCTAAGAGTTTGAACCTATATAACTTTGATCGGAAAACTGTTCTTATTTAAAAAATTTTTCATAAATCCATTTTTGTTTTAACTAAATTCATTTTTATCAAAATGTAAATACTATAATCCCATTGAACTTTAAAGTCTCATTCTAAGCTAAAATATAAAAATCTTAATGAACTTTGTTCAATTATATCAAAACATTAAACATAATTACATACAGACAATTAAGCAGCTATTAAAAAACTAACAAAACAAGGGTGCTGGCTTGCGGTTTTCAGTGTTTGGCAATAATTCTAAATACACACCTATAACACTTACTTAAAAATGATAATGTTATTTTCAGTATTTCCATCTTCATTCATAGAGATATAGCTACGAGAAGCAGATTTTGTATAGAATATGATCTGTTACGCCATTTGTTTGAGATTTCCAAAGAGGGAAATATTGTATTTGAAACAATTAGATTTAGTATATAAATAACAAAACTTTTTAATTTTAAATTTATGATTTGAATATTTTTGGTATTACATAAGTTGGGCCGGTAGTATCTGTATGTGCAATCCTCTGAGGGCGTGAGTTTTCTACAGAATTAACTGATTATTTTCTGTTTTGTAACTATAGCATAAGAACATGTTTTAAAGCCTCAAGCTACTGATGTTTAAAGTCTTCAACATTTTCTCTTTTTCCATTTATAAAGTTAATTGTGCAAAATTTACTTTTGTAAGATTTAATGTCATTGAGCTGAAAAGCAAGAAATTCCAAAGAAGTTTTCACGTGTACTATTATGTGACATTATATAACAACACAAACACATTGGCAATAATATGTCCACTTACAGGATATACTGTGAAAGGACAGATAATCTTAAAGTAATATGAAATAGAATCCTCATAGTATATATTTTTGTATCCATTAAAAGCCTCTTAATATGCCTGTGACTTTGCAGAGCAAATCATAATAATACCTTCCCATATGCCACTTTAATTTGATGGTCCTTATTTGTATACCACACACACACACACATACACACACCCATGGCAAAGAAACTTTCCTTTGAATTGATCGTTCGCACTTGCATGCCCCCGGAGGCTTAATCTTGTTGCTGATGAATATCCTCATGCCTAAGAATTTTATAGATAACCCAGTAGAAAATGTTAAAAATCAAAAAGGCTAATGGGAAACAAGCTCGAGAGATGGTGTCAATCTTCTTGGCTCTGTCGATAAAGACCTTCCTCATTTCATCAGGGCTTTTCGGCATTACTTGGACAGGATGGTTTGGGCCCTTTGGGGTCACACCATCTTTTGCTTGCAGACATGGCCCCATTCCATAGGCTGTGAAGCTGAATCGACTTTCCCTTACCTCATCATCCTGTCAGAAGAAAAACATAAGAAAACACTTGAGTCATGGAATAGAGCGTGTATAACAGGCATTTCGGATTCGTAATGTAAACTTTATCACGATAAAGGTTACAAGCATATAAAGATTGAGTTGCTTTGTTTCCCATTCAAGTTTTACTGATTTATCCTGCTGCATCATATAAATGTGTCTATTAAGAAATACGAAACTCTCAAATAATATGTTTTATTGGAAAAACTAAACATTCTGGTATTATCTACGTATTGCTACAATATATAAATAAGTTGAGCAAGCAAAGGAATCTATTGGGATCTTACACATGTTCATATACTATGTTTTTGGGGTTTTTTTACATAATGTGGATAAATAATATGATGTCAAGGGGGAAATATCAAGATCATTGACTGGATTTTTCTTTTTCATAGAGGCAAACTTTAATGTTTCTTTCCTATAATTTTTATATGACTTCATTGGAAAATACACTCTAGCTCAAGAACGCTGTTTGGGTTTTGTTATCCTCACCTAACGTGGTTTCTATGTTTTACACTAAACTATCTAGAAGACTCTAAGATAGTCATATATTCTAGTTTATATGCGATTATTTTTCAGGTACATGGACTGAGTTGAAATTATGAATGAAATTTGGCTGAAGTTTATTTCATGTTCTGGAAAGATATTGTTACCTTTCTCTTAAATGTTGCAAATTAAAGAATTCTCCATATACATATGTGAAAAGAAAACCAAAATTTGAACCAAAATTTACTTAATAAAAATATGATAAATGAAATGTGTTCATGATAGGAAAACATGGCATTTAGAGTTTATAATGAAATTCATGAATGAATAAGTTAATTTAATTCATTTATTTATAATGTAACAATAGACAACTGCCAATTAATTAGGGGTTTTTTTTTGCTACTAAAACTGAAAATTTAAAAGATGACATTTTCTAAAGTTGTTTTAAAGTTGTCAAAGCTCTCCTTTTATGAAAGTAATTTTTAATGGTAATATAGGATACAAAAGTAATTGGCTCAAACTCTTGAAAAATTATTTTGGGTCTGTTTAAGCAGAGGCTCAATAAAATGTATATTACAAAATATGAAACTGAAAAATGGAAATTAAAATGGATTCTGAACATGAGAAGATGATCAAAGTTCATGTAATAATGTTTGAAATAGTTTTTTGGGAATAATGGAGTAAGGCAATTTCACATGAAAAATAAAAACAAATAATTCTTGGGAAACAGCTGAACTGTAAGATGCATAAGCAATTGAATTGTGAGGAAACAAATCTGAAGTAAAAGCCGATGATCCTAATTATACTTAACTACTGTTGTAATCTTATAAAAATTGGAAACTGAATTTTCAGTACTCTTTAAAAAAGATGTTCATTTATACTGGCTTTTTTTTTTAGTTTCCATGGAAATTTTAAGTCTAAATTATTATTTGCCTTGAATTTTTTATGTCCCAGAAAAAAGTGGATATACAAGAAATTAAGCTGTTCCTACGTAAGTGCTAAAACAGTTTCCTTATAATTTAGGAAATCATGCTGTTGTTTGCATTTCAGAAAAAAAGTGTAGATCATTGGAGAATTTGTACAACTTTTGGGTGCAAATCAGCTGAATGCTGAAGGATATATAAAATAGCCTTTTAACCTATATCAACCCATGTGTCCAAAAAAAAGCCATCTCAAAATAGGACAAAAGATAATTTCTCAATGAGCATTTACAATGAGGTGTTGACATATTAGTTGAACCAATTAAGAGATGGGTTACAAAAATGCTAGAATGTTAGGATTCTACTGTATTTAGTAAAGTAGAATCCATTTATTTTTCCCCCTAGCTTTACTAAGAAACAACTGGCATACATTACTGTACAAGTTTAAGGTATACAGCATGACCGTTTGATTTACACATACGATAAAATGATTATCACAGTAGTTTTAGTATCTGTCACCTCACACAGATAGAAAAAAAAGAAAAGAAAAAAAAATTCTCCCTGGGATGAAAATTCTTAGGATCTACTATCTGAACAACTTTCCTGTAGATCATGCAGCAGCATTAGCTATAGTCATCATGTTGTACATTACTTTCCTAGTGCTTATTTATCTTACAAACGGAAGTTTGTGTCTTTAACCACCTACCTCCATTGACTACCTTTCTAACCATCAATTCGGAAGAACTTAACTATGTTCAAACTCTTAGAGACTCCACCCCCCCCCCCCCCCCCCCCCCCCCCCCGCCCCGCTCCAGTTCTCCATCTCAAAACAGAGACAATCTTTTCAAGATTTAAGATATTCAGTGAACAACCACATTATGTTCCATGGCATCTTTCCACTAACTGTGAGTAGAGGGTTAATCTCAGGGCCTGGGCTGATGAATGACTTCTGATCCTTTCAGCATCATTTCCTTGAAAACAATAGAGCTCACTAAATGGGGAAGGTGGAGTTTGCTTCATTTACTGCACAGGGCACCGCTGTGTGATGGCCTGAAGGCCCTTGGGCTACGTGACCAGAATGTAGACAAGTCTGGTAAGAAATAAGGGCTGTGGCTTCTTTGTGTCAATGTGATAACATATGCTCTGACGTTTGTCCGTGGCAGCGCGTCTACATGCGCCTGTGGATGAGGCCCAAAGCAGCTGTGCTCATGAGTAACTGCCCTGCCTCCTGGGGAGATGAGAAAATGCTACCTCTGATGTGCCGGCTGCCTCACATGCTCCTGTAGGACCGAGTGAAGCCCAGTGTGTCTGGAGGGTCTGATTGACAAATTTAACCCCGCATTTCAACGGTGGTGACAGAAGCTGACCTGGCTTTCAGATCCTTTCAGACCCAATATGGCCCAAAGTTCAGGGAGGGAATTTGATAAGAATGTTGATACTGATCCCCCCTGGGGTTGAGATAGCCAAAGTCCCACGGAAAATAACTGGGAATAAATCTTACTATAGCAATGTGGAAGACAGAGAATGATCCCTTATTGAATTGGTAGACGGGTGATTAACGAGATAAAACCGAAGGAGACCAGGTGATAAAACCGAGGGGAAAATGGCTCAAAATACAATTTTCTTGTCTCCTATTTAGTTGATTATCTGTGAAACTGAAACCACTTGGTAGAAAGAGAAATTAGGGCAAGTAAAGCAAGCGGCTTCATGGCCTGTGTCAAGTCCACTTGGGAGTTGGAAGAACATTGCATTTAATCCCTGATGTTACTTCTTTGCAACCTTAGGCCAACAACACTGTAAACTAGTGAGTATTGTGTAGTACTGTCCAATAGAAATATACTGGGAGCCACACATGAACACCGTGTGTATAATTTTCAATTTAAATTTTACACTATCTACCATTTTAATGAGTTGAAAGAAACCAAATGAAATTAAGTTCAGTATTACATTTTCTTTAACTTAGTATGTCCTAATATGATTTACATATTTACTCAAAGTAAAAAGGAGATCTTCTATATTCTTTATTTCATGCTAAGTCCTTGAAATCAGCATATATTTTTAATACACCTCTGTTCAGACTCTATATTTATTTTTTTAAATGTTTTTCAAGGTTTATTTATTTTTGAGAGACAGAGAGAGAGACAGAGTTCAAGCAAGGGAGGGGCAGAGAAAGAGGGAGACCCAGAATCCGAAGCAGGCTCCAACTGACTGAGCCACCCAGGGGCCCCTCAGACTCTATTTCTAGTGCTCAATAGCCACATGTGGCTTGTGGCTACCATTTTGTATGAAGCAATTATAACATAAAGAAGCG